TAACTCTTTTGCACCATTTACCTTAAATCGGACGAAAATATATATGGGAGCTATATTTAAATCTGAACTGATTTTCACAAAATTTGACACACATCTTTCTAGACTTAATTCAGTATGGTATGCCAAATTTCGTGAAAATCGAAGCGTATATATCGACATTGGTCAACTATTTTCCAAATATCCGATGAAAATATATATGGGAGCTATATCTAAATCTGAACAGATTTTTCCCAATTTCAATAGGGTTCGTCCTTGGGCCAAATAAATGAGCTGTGCCAAATTGCATCCAATTCGAATAAAAAATGCGACCTGTACTTTGTTTACAATTTAGCATGGACAGACGGACGGACGGACATGCATAAATCGACTTAAAAAGTGATTCTATGCATGTTCTCAAAAGGAACCATGTGTCTATCTCGTTTTCTTTGACATAATACCCTGTACCGTCTGTCCATTATATTTTGTAAACACGATACAGGTCACAGTTATGGACCAATCTTCACGAAATTTTGCATGTAGAATGAGTTCTGGCCAATGAAGACCCCTATTGTTTTTGGAAAAGATCGGTTAATATTTAGGGGATGAAATGGACCAAAAACTTAATTTTTGTCGATTTTTCTGGTCGCTCCAGAGGCCGCAATTATAGCCCAAAACCCGCGAATTTTTGTATGGGGAAGGGGATCGGGCCAAAGAATAAGCATGGATGTTTTGATAAAGATCGGTCAATATTTAGCGGATCAAATGGACCCTGACTTTTGTGTGAAAAATGGCAAAATTTGTATTCTATGGCGTATATATTTGCCCCTGAAGGACCTAGACCCGAGAAGTTGATAGTATGTTCAAGAGGAGTAGTTGACCTTTAAATTGATACCAATTATATGGTCGTATGTCCTCAGATGTGGGAGTTACACTTAAATATTTATTTAAATATTTACGTATTCAGACATTATTTAGTAACCCATTACCACACTAGACGGCGGAAATATAGCGCTGATCGCTTTGAAATTATCCATGAGGTTCCAATTATGGTCAAGGACAACGCCTATAATTTTCGGTGATGATCAGATAATAATTTTGGGATGAAGTGGACCGAAAACTAAACTTTTTGTGTGTGTGTTTTGTTTTTTCTTTTTTTTGAGTCGATCTATAAGCCGCAATTGAAAGCCCAACATCACAACATAACCTACGATTAAGAGAATCTGGACAAATACAGCCCCCGTCTACGGAATATTAGTAATATGTGTTGACCTTTAGTCGGGTGTCAAGAGGGTGCAAATAACGCAAAGTTAGATTTTCATGGAAGTTGTGTAGGGTATCGTTTGGTCTACCCCATCCGACTATACTGCTCCGCTCACTGGTTTTAAAATCCAATTCCATTAAAATTGAATTTTGCTTATTTCAATTTCCAAAAAGCGCCAAGATAAGTTCTTGGATTTTTTTGATAATATACAATTGTACATTTTTTGTAAATATTTATTTTGTGTTGTGTGTGTGTTTTTATGTTTAAATACACATCAACAAATGTAACTGTAAGCAAATACTTCGAACTGAACTGAAAAACACAAACTTTATACTTTTCTGCTCGGCATCTATGAGCCAACATGCAGATACACTTATTTCATTTTTGTTGGTGTTTTCAATATAAACAAAACACGAATAAAAGATAAATAATAATTAAAATGAAAAAAAACCTTTTATCTGTTTTCTCGTTTCTACGATCTGCCATCTACACTTGGATGTGGTTTACCAGGGCAAAACGTATGCCTGGTATTTCTGGGTATATCAATCAATCAAATGAATATCTTTGTAAAGACAATAAAAGCTCATTTTAAAAATTAAATAAAACGAAAAAACAAAATCAGAATCACACAAAATGTAAACAGAAAAAAAAAATAAATTAAAAATTGTGTTTATATGTTTGCATGTGTAAATCTGTCATAATTTTTGTTGTTAATAAAATGTGTTGTGATTTTTCGTTTTTGATCTGGCCTTTATTGCAAACAAAGTGCCATCTGAAAAAGGTATATTCACATTATTACATCGATAATATTGCAATTAAAATTTCATTATTTTTTTTTTGCATATTCCTTGTTATGTGGAGTGTTTTTGTCCTGCCTTCAACTTGGCACATTCATCACATGTCGGAGTCAAACCTATCCCATGTGTGTGGGACATACTGCTTCCATTGAAATACATCTGGGTATTGTTCACTTTTGTCAAACAAATATACTCTGCTGTAATTTGATCAATTAATATGGCACTCAACTTTTAATAATTGGAGGAGGTAAAGGTCACGGGTTATACAGGTCGCTATGGGAGGACACCAATCCAAACGACGGAAGAATGGAAAAAACTGTAAAATGAAGCTGTATACCGACAAGCTTTGGACATTTTGGGTAGACGTTGAGAAAATATTTTAAAAAAATCCAGGCCTTGGGTAGACGTTGAGAAAATATTTAAAACCAGTAAGGAAAGTAGTAAAGTCGGACGGGCCGACTATTTGATACCCTTCACCAATTTGGGTAAATTCAAGAACATCTCTTGTACAATATCCTGAAGAAATGACGAAATTAAATGTGTGGACTACATAGATATTTGAACTAATTTAAAACAACCTATACACATACAATTCTGAAACATATGTTAATCGAAAGGACTTGGGTTCTTTTGGTGTGCCATTTGTATGAAATCATGCAAAATTGTGTATGGGAGCTGTATGTACATCTGAACGTATATGAGCAACCACTTGGTATACTGCAGCATAGTGTGCTGTTCACAATATATCTCTATCGGAGAAACGGCTTTTATTTGGTGCAACATTTGCACGAACTCACACGATAATATAAAGCGTATATATCAACATATGCACACATTAATCCAATATAGGTTATTCTACATCGAAGGATTTGCATTTAATCGGACGAAACTATATATGGGAGCTAAATCTAAATCGGACCAAACTATATATGTGAGCTATATCTAAATCTGAACGCATTTTCAAAAAATTTAACACACGTCATTGTAGACCTAATTCAGTACGCATTGCCAAACTTCGTGAAAATCGAAAGATATATAGGGACTTTGGTACACCATTTTTATTAAATTGGACGAAAAAATATATGGGAGCTATATCCAAATCTGAATCGATTTTCAGGAAATTTTACACACATCATCCTGGACTCAATTCAGTACACCATACCAAATTTCGTGGAAATCTAATTTACATAAAATCGGACGAAAATATATATGGGAGCTATATCTCAATCTGAACCGATTTTCAGGAAACATAACACACATCATTCTAGACCTAATTCATTACTCTATGCCAAATTTCGTGCAAATCGAATGATATATAGGGACTTTGGTACACCATTTACATAAAATCGGACGAAAAATTATATTGGAGCTATATCTAATTCTGAACCGATTTTCAGGAAACTTAACACACATCATTGTGGACTTAATTCAGTACACTATGCCGAATTTCGTGCAAATCGAATAACATATAGGGACTTTGGTGCACCATTTAGATAAAATCGGTCGGAAATGTATATGGGAGCTATATCTAAATCTGAACCGATTTTCAAGAAATTGTACACACATCGTTCTAGACTTAATTCAGTACACTATGCCGAATTTCGTGCAAATCGAAAGATATTTAGGGACTTTGGTGGACGATTTACCTTAAATCGGACGAAAATATATATGGGAGCTATATCTAAATCTGAACCGATTTTCACGAAACTTAGCACACATCATTCTAAGCTTAATTCAGTACGCTGTGCCAAATTTCGTTAAAATCGAAAGCTATTTAGGGACTTTGATGCACCATTTACCTTTAATCGGACGAAAATGTATATGGGCGCTATATCTAAATCTGAACCGATTTTTCCCAATTTCAATAGGGTTCGTCATTGGGCCAAATGAATGAGCTGTGCCAAATTTTATCAAATTAGAATAATAAATGCGACCTGTTCTTTGTTTACAATTTGCATGGACAGACAGATTGACGAACGGACGGACATGCATAAATCGGGTAGACGTTGAGAAAATATTTAAAAAAATCCACGCCTTGGGTTGACGTTGAGACAATATTTAAAAAAATCCACGCCTTGGGTTGACGTTGAGACAATATTTAAAAAAATGCAAGCCTTGGGTAGACGTTGAGAAAATATTTAAAAAAATCCACGTTTTGGGTAGACGTTGAAAAACTATTTAAAAAAAATCCACGTTTTGGGTAGGCGTTGAAAAACTATTTAAAAAATCCAAGCCTTGGGTAGACGTTGAGAAAATATTTAAAAAAATCCACGCCATGGGTAGACGTTGAGAAAATATTTAAAAAAAATCCACGCCTTGGGTAGACGTTGAGAAAATATTAAAAAAAATCGACGCCTTGTGTAGAAGTTGAAAAACATTTTTAAAAAATCCACGCCTTGGGTAGACGTTGAAAAACATTTTTAAAAAAATCCACGCCTTGGTTAGACGTTGAAAGCCATTTTTAAAAAATCCACACCTTTTAAAATCTAAAAAAAATACTTTTGTATTAAACATATTTACACTTTTGTATTAATACCCCACCCGCTACCTTCTTCTCTTTACAGACTATGTTGAACCTAATAACGAATCTCCAGCATTGCAATCTGGCTTTTATTCTAATTAAAGTGGCGAATCAAATTATTTATTTTCAGAACTTAAAATAGGCACACTTCACGGGCTAGTCACATAAAAAATCGTCGTAGCAACAACAAAAATATGATGAAAAATAATACACAAAAATTGCCAAGCAAATAGCGGGCTAAGAGCAATCAAATACAGACTAAACGCCGACGTTATCTCGAAACTTACTAAAAATAGCTAATGGTTTGGATCGGATGTATTCAGTTGTAGTTGTTGCTGCTGCTGCTGCCACTACTAATTACACATCCTTGTTTATTGTGCATCCATCAACACTCCGACAAATGTCTTATCACGGCAAATCGCAAACGCATTCCAATCGAAACATGCATCCGTCACGACATCCGCGTCGGCCCCATTGTTGTACAACAAAAATACCAAAGAGACAGCATCAGTTACAAATGCCCGCCTTTCAGATGTTACGCTTTCTGCTGTTGTTGGTGTGCTACAGCTGTCATCAATCACAGACTACAGCTGCTATTGAATATAGTGCTCAGCTGAGTCAATGCTATGACAAAGCATACGGATTTGGAGGATATCATCTGTTCAATGATTCTCTGGCACCGGGTAATCAATTGATATGGGATTCGGTTAATGGTACTGGGTTGCTAAGGAATGGTAGTGAAATTGTGAGGACATTGGCACAGCCGGAGGCAACAACGGCACCAGGATGGAAGTGTTGTTGTTGGAATGCAACAAATTCGGTAAGAAATGAAAAAATTATCAATATTCTTTAAAAAATCCACGCGTATAAATAGGTCTTAAAAATTTGTCTTTAAAAATCCATGCCTATAAATAGGTCTTGAAAATTTGTCTTTAAAAATCCATGCCTATAAATAGGCATTGATAAATCTCCTTTAAAAAATCCACGCCTATAAATAGGCATTGATAAATCTTCTTTAAAAAATCCATGCCTATAAATAGGCATTGATAAATCTTCTTTAAAAAATCCATGCCTATAAATATGTCTTGAAAATTTGTCTTTAAAAAATCCACGCCTATAAATAGGCATTGATAAATCTTCTTCAAAAAATCCACGCCTATAAATAGGCATTGATAAATCTTCTTTAAAAAATCCACGCCTATAAATAGGCATTGATAAATCTTCTTTAAAAAATCCACGCCTATAAATAGGCATTGATAAATATTCTTTAAAAAATCCCCGCCTATAAATATGCATTGATATAAATAGGCCTTGAAAATTTTTCTTTAAAAATCCACGCCTATAAATAGGCCTTGAAAAATTGTCTTTAAAAAATCCACGGCTATAAATAGGTCTTGAAAATGTTTCATTAAAAAATCCACGGCTATAAATAGGCCTTGAAAAATTGTCTTTTAAAAATCCACGCCTATAAATAGGCATTGAAAATATTCTTTAAAAAATTGAGGCCTTAAAATAGGCATTGATAAATCTTCTTTAAAAAATTCACGCCTATAAATAGGCATTGATGAATCTTCTTTAAAAAATCCACGCCTATAAATAGGCATTGATAAATATTCTTTAAAAAATCCACGCCTATAAATAGGCATTGATAAATCTTTTTTAAAAAATCCACGCCTATAAATAGGCATTGATAAATATTCTTTAAAAATTCCACTCCTATAAATAGGCATTGATAAATAATTATTATAAAATATACGCCTATAAATAGGCCTTGAAAATATTCTTTAAAAAATCCACGCCTATAAATAGGCCTTGAAAATATTCTGTAAAAAATCCACGGCTATAAATAGGTCTTGAAAATGTTTAATTAAAAAATCCAAGCCTATAAATAGACCCTGAGAAATATTCTTTAAAAAATCCACATCTATAAATTGTCCATGAAATATATTCGTTAAAAAATCCACGCCTATAGATAGGTCTTGAAAAATATTCGTTAAAAATCTACGCCTATAAATAGGCCTTGAAAATATTCTTTAAGAAATCCACGCCTAAAAACAGGCCTTGAAAATATTTTTTAAAAAATTCAGGCCTAAAAATAGGCTTTGAAAAATATTCTTAATATATATATATATATATATATATTATTTTTAATTTCACGCTTCTTTGGGTTCCTCAAATTCATGTTTTAATAAATTATCGCTTCTTTGGATCTTTAAAAAAGTATTATTTATGTTTGAAATCTCCACTTTTCTAATGGGTGCGTATACGTTGTGACAACACTCATACGCACCATATTTCCTGCCTTTTTATTCACATATTTAGCCTCCGTGCATTTTTCCGTAAAGTAAACGTTAACTTTTCTGGATGGTAGCATTTAAAAGGCATTCAATCTATTTTAGTTAACATACACACATCGTAAATGTTTTCTGACAGTCATCGTTATATTGCCGTAATTGGCAACTGTAGTAGTTGTAGTAATCGATTTCCGTTTACTCTCACTCGTTATATTGACTACATATGGTGTTTCATTTCCTCAACTTCAATAAAGTCGAAGAGTTGCAAAATCGCCACTTCTTTGGAACCTTCGAAAAAAAATATTCTTTTGTAAATTTCACGCTTATTTGGGTCCTTACATAATACTTTGGATCTTTAAAAAAGTTTATTTTATTTATGAAATGATTAAAATTTCCACTTTTCTATAGGGTGCGTATACATTGTGACAACACTCATACACACCATATTCCCATATTTCCTGCCATTTTATTCACCTATTTACCCTCCGTGCATTTCTTCCGTAAAGTAAACGTTAACTTTTCTGGATGGTAGCATTTAAAAGGCCTTCAATCTATTTTAGTTAGCATACATACATCGTAAATGTTTCCTGACAGTCGTCGTTATTTTGCCGTAATTGGCAACTGTAGTAGTTGTAGTAATCGATTTCCGTTTACCCTCACTCACTATGTTGGCCACATATGGTGCTTCATTTCCTCCATTTCAATAAAGCCGAGTAGTTGAAAAGTCAAAAGCTTTCAAGAAGGCATGAAATGTGTAATGGAATAATACGTAAACTAGTTACATGAATTGCATTACAACTTTTTTTTGCATTTTGTTTTGCAGAGACCGAAAGTATAAACCAGCTTGTGTTTGAGTGCATATAACAACAAAAATATGCAATTGTATTACTGAAGGAATTTCTACCTCTGCTTGATCTTCGTCTACCTCTAGTTGAATATGTTGCATTTTCAAATGAATACTTATCAACTATCTGGCCAATGAATATGAAACAAACAAACTTATTCTCTCTGATGCAATTATCCCTGCTAAGGGAAAAATATTCATTAATGTATACGCATAGATTTTAAAATTCATGCATGCAATTTTTTAAACTTTTTCGAATAAATTCCGACTATGTGCATGCAACATAATTCCTTTTGTTTCAAACTAGTTGCATAACTCGTGATTTTTCTACATGCTTCGGTGCAGATTTTTCCGAAATGCCCAACCGAACCCACATCCCAACATCATAAAATGCCAAGTCTAATTGAATTATCTACTGAACGTTGAATGTTGACAGCAGAAACAAAAAAATGTTCGAATAAATGTCATGTGATATAGTTTTTTTATTCGGGTTGTCATGGTGAACTGTTCCATGGGGAGGTAGGTATTTTTAATTAAAATTTTTAAAGAATTTAATAAATTAAACTTTTTAAAATACCCTATTTTTTTTAGAAAACTAAAAATAGATATGATTTAACATGAGGCTCATATGGTGCGTATACGTTATGACAGAAATTATACGCACCAGAATGTAGAGTAGAGAATTGAAAGAAGTAATATCGAATCTTAATCCCAATTGGCCCAATTCATACAAGAGATCCACAACAAGACATTGTACGAAAATTCTTGCTCGCTACGTGTATATCTTGCGGGTTCGAAATTGAATATAAATCTGTCTAACCAGCTTCTCTTCTCGGCACCCTCTCCCTTGTCTGCGTGCTTTTACGTAAAGGCTGAACCAATTATTTTCAGCTTCTCGATCAAACAATTTCTCAATTGCCTTCTCTAAATATTTGTCCGAAAGCATCATCTTCCATGCTGTACCAATTTCAAGCCTCATTCAGCTTCTTGATCAAACAATTTCCCAATTTACTTCTCGAAACATTTGTCCGAAAGCATTATCTATCATGCTGTATCAATTTCAAGCCTCATCATAGCGGTGATTTCCTTCTTCTGTTTGTTCCCACTACTGTAAACATGCTTAATTTTATTGGGCGAACCACAGTAAGACCTTCAATATCTTTAAGTATGTTCCCTTTTCCGTTCACCAGTTACATTTTGTTTTCACCATAATCTTCCTTCGATTGGTCGTCATCTCTGTTTCAGTATTTCTCCACCATCTAAATTTGGCTGATTATCCCGGTCCCATTTCTAGGATTTATAGGAATGATTTTCTTCAGATTCTCGGTCATACCATTCCCCAATTGGGTTCTCAAGATATTTGCCCGGCAGCATCATTTTTCAGGCTGTAGCATTTGAAAGCGTCCTCATTGTTTCGGTTTCTCACCACAGGCTTAATTTGATTGGACAACCCCTATCCTTTTTCCTGCCCGTAATCATCCTTCGGTTGGCCGTCATCTTTACTCTCAGTCTTTCTTTTAGTGGCCTTCCCAGATGGACCATCCGTAAATAACGGCCTTTGCTTACCGGTCCAATCATATTTATGTGCCCTACGGCAATGCGCGTATCCGCAAACTTCCTTCTCACGGCAATATACTAGTTCATCGACAGTTCTCTTCCCTTTCTGCATTGAAGTACATCATCCTTCATTTCTTTTTCGTTTCTCTCGTGTCTTATGCTCACCGGCTTCAATTTCCATGCTGGACCTTGTTCTCATTCTTGGCATCGGTGACCATTAGCTTGGTCTTTTTCCAGATTTAACTGCTGCCTGGGCTTTAATTTCGTGAACTGGATTTTTTAAGACCCTAAGCCCTATTCATTCTGGTCATTATTTACCTGCAACTATTGCAACTTTTTTCAATTTCAATTCTCGGAACGTATTATATTGTTTTTTTTTATGGCTAAGCAGATTATTGGTCTGCGGTAGCCTGCCCTATGTGGTGAAACTGCCATCTATTGTTGCATAGAATCAACGCCTCTTTGTATGTTTGCAGTGGTTGGTGTCCGTGCTTATGTAGTGTTGCAATTTTCCACAGGATGGTGCTATTTCGTGTCATCCTCATATCGACGCCTCCGAACCATAGTATGCTAAGTCTGAAAAGTGAGTTTTTCAGTAGGAGCTTTCAAAGTATGGAAGTTTCTTTAATCGTACGTGCCATGCTAAGTACATTTTTGCTTATAACTTTGGTTTGGATTGGCCGATGATTACCAAAATTTCAGTGAATGTAAATTAAGGACCGTAGTATCTAAAAACGTGGCGTCGATATTTTATACGAATTTTTCCTCCGGTTTGTAGTCTGACTATTGGTTTGTAGTAGCCTGTCCTGCCATCTATTGTTGTCTTGAAACAACGCCTCCTTGCATGTAGTGAAGTGGTTGGGGTTTTTGCTTATTTAGTGTTGCCATTTTCCAAAGGATGGCGCTATTTCGTGTCATCAACATATGTTGATGCCGAGGTTGGTTATTGGAATATCAGGTAGCTTCGTATGCATTTTATCTGGATCCCGCTCCAGAGTTCCTTTTTTCAAATATCCAAAAACCACGTTGAACAAATTTTTCCTCCGATTTGTAGTCTGGCTAATTGGTCTTGAATTTAACAAACTTTTCCTCCGGTTTGTAGTCTGGCTTATTGGTCTGAGGTAGCCTGTCTTAGATGGTGGAGCTATCATCTATTGTAGAAACAACGCCTCCTGGCATGTAGTGCAGTAATTGGTGTCCTTGCTTATGTAGTGCTGTAATTCTCTACAGGATCGCTCTACTATGTGTCATCCTAATATGTTGATGCCGAGGTTACTTATTGGAATATCAGGGAGCTTCGTATGCATTGTATTTGTAGCGGGATGTAAGTCCCTTTTTCAAATATTAAACCAGTAAGGAAAGTAGTAAAGTCGGACGGGGCCGACTATATGATACCCTTCACCACTATGGGTATATTAAACAGGACTATTAAGATGAAATTGGATGAAATAAAATATGTGATATTTATCTAAATGTGAATCTACCTAAATCTATCCATAAAGTATGTAAATCGACTTCAAACAAATATAAATAGGTCATCCGTTGGGCTATGTCTGTACTTCTACAAAACGCAACTACGTAATTCTATGCTCAATTTTGTAAGTTGTGCAAAATTTGATTTCAATCTGACTAACATGAGGAGTTTGATGCCCAATTTACTTGAAATCGGGCGAAAATATATATGGAAGCTCTATCAAAATATTAGGCGATTTCAAACAAACTTGTCACAGGTTAGGTTATACTAATTTCAGAAAGTTTTGTTCCTATCAGCCTATTGGTTCCTTGGTGCATCAATTACTTAAAATCAATCTATAATAAAAGGAAGCTCTATCTAAATCTGGACCGATTTTCACGAAACAAGACAGACATCACTCTAGGCTCAATTCAGTACGTTATGCCAAATTTCGTGCAAATCGAAGGATATATAGGGACTTTGGTGCACCATTTACCTAAAATCGGGCGAAACTATATATGGGAGCTATATCTAAATCAGGACAGATTTTCACGAAACTTGGCAGACATCATTCTAGGCTCAATTCAGTACGTTATGCCAAATGTCGTGCAAATCGAAAGATATATAGGGACTTTGGTGCATCATTTACATGAAATCGGACGAAACTATATATGGAAGCTATATCTAAATCTGGACCGATTTTCTCGGAACTTGGAAGACATCACTCTACGCTTAATTCAGAACGATTTCGTGCAAATCGAAAGATATATAGGGACTTTGGGGCACCATTTAAATGAAATCGGACGAAACTATATATGGGAGGTATATCTAAATCTGAACCGATTTTATCAAAACTTTGCAGACATCACTCTAGGCTCAATTCAGTACGTTATGCCAAATTTCGTGCAAATCGAAAGATATATAGGGACTTTGGGGCACCATTTAAATGAAATCGGACGAAACTATATATGGGAGGTATATCTAAATCTGAACCGATTTTATCAAAACTTGGCAGACATCATTCTAGGCTCAATTCAGTACGTTATGCCAAATTTCGTGCAAATCGAAAGATATATAGGGACTTTGGCGCACCATTTACATGAAATCGGACGAAAGTATATATGGGAGCTATATAGAAATCTGGACCGATTTTCTTGAAACTTGGCAGACATCACTCTAGGCTCACTTCAGTACGTTATGCCAAATTTCGTGCAAATCGAAGGATATATAGGGACTTTGGTGCACCATTTACCTAAAATCGGGAGAAACTATATATGGAAGCTATATCTAAATCACGACCGATTTTCACGAAACTTGGCAGACATCATTCTAGGCTCAATTCAGTACGTTATGCCAAATTTCGTGCAAATCGAAAGATATATAGGGACTTTGGGGCACCATTTACATGAAATCGGACGAAACTATATATGGGAGCTATATCTAAATCTGAACCGATTTTCTCGAAACTTGGCAGACATCACTCTAGGCTTAATTCATTACGTTATGCCAAATTTCGTGCAAATCGAAAGATATATAGGGACTTTGGGGCACAATTTACATGAAATCGGACGAAACTATATATGGGAGCTATATCTAAATCTGAACCGATTTTCTCGAAACTTGGCAGACATCACTCTAGGCTTAATTCATTACGTTATGCCAAATTTCGTGCAAATCGAATGATATATAGGGACTTTGGTGCACCATTTACATGAAATCGGACGAAACTATATATGGGAGCTATATCTAAATCTGGACCGATTTTCACGAAACTTGGCAGACATCATTCTAGACCTAAATGATTAGGCTGTACCAAGTTTCGTGCAAATCGAAAGATATATAGGGACCGTTTACATTAAATCGGTTAAATATATATATGGGAGCTATATCTAAATCTGAACCGATTTTTCCCAATTTCAATAGGGTTCGTCCTTGGGCCAAATAAGTGACTTGTGCCAAATTTCATCCAATTCGGATCATAAATGCGACCTGTACTTTGTTTACAATTTAACATGGACAGACAGACGGACAGACGGACAGACGGACAGACGGACGGACGGACGGACGGACATGCATAAATCGACTCAGAAAGTGATTCTATGCATATTCTCAAAAGGAACCATGGGTCTATCTCGATTATTTTTGCCTGTTACAAACATATGCACAAAGACATAATACCCTGTACCACAGTGTGGTGAAGGGTATAAAAAACACGTTGAACAAATTTTTCCTCCGGTTTGTAGTCTGCCTGATTAGTCTGCGGTAGCCTGCCCTAGATGGTGGTGCTGTCATCTATTGTTGCCTATAAACAACGCCTCCTTGCGTGTCGTACATTGGTTGGTGTCCTTGCTTATTAAGTGTTGCTATCATCCACAGGATGGCTGTATTTCGTACATGTTTCGTGTTATCCTCATATTTTGATGACGAGGTTGAATGTTGAAATATCTGGAAGCTTCGGTTGCATTCGCATATCTGGAGCAGAGTGATAGCCTCTTTTTTACAAATATTAAAAAAAAAACACAATGAACGAATTTTTTCCTTCGGTTTGTAGCCTGGCTATACACTGTACTATGCCACCTCTATGATAATAGAACAGTTGTTTAGTTTTAGGGCAATATGTGTTTTTTTGAAAATCGTTACCATTCATAGTTTTTACAACGAATATGTATTTTTGTTAAAAATTCAAAAAATATGTGAGTAATGGAATTGAATTTCAAATATTGACATTTCAATCAAATACCTTTTTTTGTATGCAACAAGTAGACATATAGTTCATTCTCAGCTCATACATGGAAGTTGTAACATAAACATGATATTGATTTCAATATCAGCCCGAAGCGGATTCCCTGCTACGTAATAAGTTTCCTGTCTGCTTTTTTTTCATGATCCATGTTTCCTTTTGCACTTAACATAGGGACTACTTAACATTACACTGAAGGAGTATTTAAAAGTTCATTGTTTTTTCTTTTCATTAATTTTTTGCTCTCTTCCACATACAGGATGAAGTTGAGTGCCGTTGCGAAGGAGAAGCTCTATCCCGAGTACCACAGACATTAACTGTACCATTGCAAAGGCTAACAATTGCCTCGGCTGGGTTGCCACGTCTACGAAATACAGCTTTAAAGGTTTACAATGCATCACTGTCGGATATGTAAGTTTTGTTTTTGTGCAGCCTGTTTCTGTTGTTGGTTTTGGCTTTTGTTTTTGATACCCATATTATCAATATGTTGTTTTGCTTTTAATTTTTTCCCTTTCGTTCCCATGACAGTGTACTGACAGATCTGAAATATCTGGAAACAATACAGGATGGTGCCTTTGCAAATTTAAGACACTTGAGGACAATGTAAGTTGACGAAAAGTGCAAACAATTTAAAAAAAAAATGTTGATTGAAATTTATAAAAATTTTATTTTTTTATTGTGTTTTTCCTTTCAGTTATATATCACATGCACCGAAATTAGAGTATTTATCTAAGGATGTTTTTCAAGGTATCTCGGATACCATTAAAGTCATGTAAGTTACAAGTATTTAATTCCGTAATTTTTTATCTCCCAATTTTTATTCATGGGAATTATGAAAACAATATATATATATATATATATATATATATATTTGTTATCCTGTTTATATATTGATGTCATAATCAGACTTGCAGGCTTTTAAAATATTTTAATGGAGAAGAAAAAAACCTGTTATAAAATATACATTTATTTATAGCTGCGTATACGTTATGACAGCAGTTATACGCACCCCAGCACAAAACAAAAATTAAATGCATGGATTTATTTTATTTATGCTATAAATAGAATTAACTGCAAAACAAAAACTGCTATACTCACATATTTGCATTAACGGACTAGTATCAGAAAAAATATAGTGGACTTAATACTAATTTAATAAAGTAAAGCCTAACAGGGATACAACAAACACGGGTTGTGAGAAAAAATCCTTGAAATGATTTAAAAAAATTAAAAGTGTGAAAAAACGTGTTAAGTTCGGACTGATCTGTTTATATCCGCCACTATAAGCTAAACATTTTAAATATCTAAAATCGATCGATACTTTTAAATGGGATTTGTGCCATGGTTAATTTCATACGAAAGACACTCAAATTACATGGACTTATAAAGAAAATGATCTGTAAAGAAGTCCTTTACCCATAATGCTTCCGGAATGACAAATTTCAGGCACGTCATAATGCTAAAATATAGTTAATTTGATTGAAAAATGAGAGAAATTTAATATGAGAGGTATAGCAAAGCTCGACAGGTACGACAAATGTTAGATGGACATTGGAAGTGTTGCTCGTAGCGAACATGGTTTTCAGATAATACATATCTGATCTGGAGCGATCAGGAAAACCGACAAGAATTAAGTATTTGGTCCATCTTTCGATCTTTTCCAAAAAGAAAAGGGGTCTTCATTGCAAAATGTTGTTAAGTTTGGTCCATAACTGTGGCCTGTATCGTATTTACAAAAGATAATGGACAGACGGACGGACACACATGTCTAGATCGAACTTAAAGGTGGGTCTTGGACCAATATTTGGCGGCTTTACAAACTGTTGGAGCTGCACAAAGCCATAATATCCTGACAATGTCAATTTACAGAAGACCACAGGTCTTCGATAAGAACAGGTGCAGCTCTTTCTTAATAACACCTCCATCTCTTCTATAAGAAGATATTTAGGTCTTCATAAGAAAAGGATCTTAGGTCTTCTATAAGAAGACCTCCGGGTCTTTGATAAGAAGGCCTTCAGGTCTTTGATAATAAGAGCTACAGGTCTGCTATAAGAAGAGCAACATGTACGATAAGAAGAGCTCCATCTTCTCTTATAAGAAGAGCTTGGATTTTATAAGGAGGCTACATCAAAAAGTGGCCCCGTATCGACAATTTTCCGTCAAAATGTTTTTCACATTCCGAGAAAACCAAAAATGGGATGGTACCAATATATAGAGACTATATCGATATATCCAATTTCCAATACTAAATTTCAATCAATTTCCTAAATATTGCGAGCTCTAATATAATAGCACGGGTAGTATCAGCGTCTTGTAAAGTGTGAGTTTGGTCTGGCGGGAGGTGGCCATGTTTCTAAACTGCTTACTTAGACCATAGTAGCATCTATTGGCCATCACAATCCTTCTCAGAATTTCAAAACTGATGTCATTCGTTTTATTTATGGCGGTACCAAGGTATATAAAATCTTTAACTACCTCGAAGCTGTAGTTCTCAAGTTCCACAGTTGGTCCGAGTCTACTGGACGTCTTGCGCGTTGGTACCATCAGCTTGGTCTTCTCGCCTTTTACTGCCTGCATAGCCGTATTAATTTTGCAGGAATGCCGAACGCAGACATGGCTTTAAACACCTCTGAACGGATAGGGCTGTTGAATGCGGCTTTATAGTCGACAAATAGGTGGTATGTGTCGATGTGTTTTTCGTGGGTTTTTTCCAGGATTTGGCGCAGAGTGAAAATCTGGTCAATGGTGGATTTACCAGGTCTGAAGCCGCATTGGTATGGTCCAATGATGTCATTGACCATTGGCTTCACTCGTTCACACAGCACACTGGATATCACTTTATATGCGATGGGAAGGAGACTTATTCCTCTATAGTTGGCACATATCGTATTGTCTCCTTTTTTGTGCACGGGACACAGGATACTGAGGTTCCAATCATTGGACATGCATGCTCCTAACCAGCATCTGGCCACCAGTCTTGAATAGTCTGGCTGGTAACCCATTAACATTCAGTACGCTATGCCAAAATTCGTGCAAATGAAAAGATTTCGAAGGACTTTGGTACACCATTTACCTAAAATCGGGCGAAACTTTATATGGGAGCTATATCTAAATCTGAACCGATTGAAACTTAGAACACATCATTCTAGACTCAGTACGCTGTGCCAAATTTCGTGCAAATCGAAAGATATATAGGGACTTTGGTACACCATTTACCTTAAATCGGACGAAGATATATATGGAAGCTATATCTAAATCTGAACCGATTTTCACGAAACTTGACACACATCATTCTAGACATTACGCTGTACCAAATTTCGTACCCTATTTACCTTAAATTGGATGAAAATATATATGGGAGCTATATATAAATGTGAACCGATTTTTCCCAATTTTAATAGGGTTCGTCCTTGGGCCAAGCAAATGAGCTGTGCCACATTTCATCCAATTCGGACATGTACTTTGCATAAATCGACTCAGAAAGTGATTCTATGCATATTCTCAAAACGAACCATGGGTCTACCTCTTTTCCTTTTGCCTGCACAAAGACATAATACACACTGTGGTGAAGGATATAAAAATTTCAGGATGTTTCGGATCATAGGTGGGGTCTGTGGAGGTACTAGCAGGCCAAAAAGTTATTGGTCCAGGATCGATATTTATAGCACATAATACTACTCACACAAAATAGTGTTGTAGTTTAAATCGCACACACATTTTTCTCCACATTTCGCTGACTAACTTAATTAGAATGTGTGTATGTGTGTGTGAGTGTGTGTCAGTGACAACCACTACTAAAAACTAGTTGACAACAAATGTAAACACTTATAATTTAAACACTTTTACAACTACTAAACCTTTTGTTTACAAGTTCAACAACAAACCAACCACTGAGAGCCAATATACGGCAGAATTTGGTCAAAACAAAAAACTAAACCATTAAACAACCAATTAATTTCAAGGACTAGAAAACATCCGGCTAGTTATGGAAAAAATCGATAATTACCATAAATTGAAATTTAAAACCATGTTAGGTGCGGTCAGCAATTTTGAAATTTAATATTGAACATTTGACCTATTACACGCTGTATTATATCATTACAAAAACAACATCATGGAAGCATGATTGATATGTGAATGATGATAGGAGTGATTCATCAAAAGGACTAAGAGTCCGGACAAGTAATTATTGTTAGCGGAAGTAATGACTGGTATAATATCCTTACATACTAAGCGTGTGCAGAGGGTTTGGGGGGTTATCATTTATTAAGAATGGATAGATGGCGTCTTAAGGATGACAAGTGGTTTTCTTAATAATGAAGGATATACGCACAAGGATAAGGTCAATGACCTTTTGTCAAACACTTTTTATGTAGGAGTACATTTGAAGGATGTTATTAGTACATACAGAGTAAAAATTGATTTAATTTGTTATTCTTTTAGAGAGGCCTCACTTGTTAGTTAGAACATCGGACCTCCAATATTATGAAAATTTAAAGGATTCATTTATCCTTTTCAATTTTTAGTAAAAATACTCAATGTTTGATTTGAAATTTTAAACTACTAATTTTAATGGTCCAATAAAGTATGAAAGAAAAATAATCTCATAGAAATTTTTGATAGTCGGTTTAGTTTCAGATACAGTCTCATAGGCAACATTATGTGACGAATCATGAATCTATGCGTATGGACCAGAAACAATACAACAATGTGTATTCAATGAATGCCGAACCACTTGACGTAGGCTGCTAAAATTTTGCATACATGTTTTTAATGTCAAAGCAAACATAGAAATCCAAAATGGGGTCACTGGGTCAAAGTTTGGATATAGCTCCCATATAACCGTATCTCCCGATTTAAGGTATTTTTTGACTATTAGACACATTTTACGACCAAATTGGCTGTAATTTGGCACAGAGTGTTCTCTTTGGGTGCAAAATGTCCACTCAAAAACTTATGTATGTAGGTCCACGTTTACTGGTAGCCATACAAAGGTACCCCTATTTTGAGTATTTACCCAAAAATTGGGTACAAACTCATTAACTGGCGAACCATAGGCGGTCAAAATTTGGCTCAGATGGTTTTTATATCAATACAAATACTGGTATGGGAAATGGAGTCCCTGGGTCCAAGTTTTGGTGTAGCCCTCATATAATGGTACCAGTAATTTGGTATGTTGGGTTCGCATTGAATAACAAATATCCGTAACAAAAAATATTGACCCAAGTTTCAGGGTACCCTACACCACACTGTGGTACAGAATATTCTATTCTATGTGCATATGTGTGTAACAGGCAAAAGGAAACGAGATAGACACATGGTTCCTTTTGAGAATATGCATAGAATCACTTTTTGAGTCGATTTATGCATGTCCGTCTGTCCACCTGTTTGTCCATGTTAAATTGTAAACAAAGT